ATATACAAAAATTAACGGGGAGCATTTATGAATTTTGACAAGATATTATAAATTTATGCTCATCCAATTAAGGCGGAATTTTTACTTTTGACTGTTGTAAAGCTGATTTTTATGATAATATAGAGAAAATTTGCTTAAGTAATATAGCAAATAACAAAAAAAAAGCAGAAAGCTCCAAACATGTTCTATGATATTGATCTGAGAACAATCTAGTATAAGAACAGGAGAAATATGGCTTAATGCGTCTTAAGCTAACATAACCTATCTAGTATTTTACAATACTAACCGACAGTTTTAACCCAAATATGCCAGTAAAATAATTGTAGCAGAAAGCTGTAAAAGCACTTTAAAGTTCATTATTATATCTTAGTTCACAAATATACTATCTAAGCACCAAAGCAAACATTAAAAAAAAGCCAACATCACTTTCTAAATGCTGACCCGGCAAATCCTTAAGTTCACTTTAGATACCGCTAATAAACATTATGGGCTTGGATAATTTTCAATTAGTAGCATTTTTCTTTTTGTATGTTTCTTTACCCGCAGTGCAAATCGAGTTAAACTCAAATGGACCCAAACAAGGGAAAAACATTCAAAAGAAAAACGCATAAATGAAAACTAAATATTTGCACTGGGCTCTTGGGTCTATGTTATAGCTGCCAAATGACAAGAGTGAAACCAAAGGAAAATGAGAGGAAAAATAAAAAGGTTTTTCGCCGACCAGCACATGCCAGGTCCGTCAGTAAAAACAAAAACAACAACATCGAGTCCTGTCTATGGGGGCCTAAATAACTAAGTCAATAAATCAATTCGACATAATTTTTCGTAGCTTTCTTTCGTATCTAAAGTTTTTTAGTCGCTTTGTTTTTGTGTGCCCAAACAAACAAAAGGCATAAGAAAACTGTTTGGCAGGGAAAACAATGATAGCAGGTCAAGAGCTCGATACACATGGCCCAAAGATACATAAACAATGATAACTCTACAGTTTATCAATTTATAAAATGGCGTTCGCAATAAAAAAAATAACAGTAAGAGGCTCTAGTCGGGAGCTTCCGACTAAGAAATACCCTGAACTCTCACCTACCAACACAAATGCAGCACGCTCTACGCGTTGGTTTGCTTCAGCAGTAATACAAATAAATTTCAAAAACAGTGTCTCTCCTCGATGAATCTCGAGCTCGTAATATACCGCACTAGTTTCAACCGCCTCTACTAAACAGCCACACAATTGAGTCTTAATAAGAAAAAACCGGAATAACATAGCAGCACGGAAAACAATACAATCGCAATTGCAATTGCTGTTAATAGAATTCGAAGCAAACGCGTATGAATGTGTGTGTATATATGTATACAGAAATTCTTGCAGACGGGCAGACGGACAAACAGCCAGACAGAGGGACAAATACATTATACCCTTTTTACCCATTTTCAATGGCTTTAGGGTCTAAAAAGAAATAAAGTAGGCAAGCCGCGCTCTATTACGATACAATGTAAAGCTAACAGAGCGTAATCGTGCATTGCAGCTAAGTTAACAGAAAGCTCACCAAAGCGGTTGCTGCCCACGCTAAGCACAGCTAAAAGCTTTCACTAACTTTAAACATATTTACACAGAAATTACTAAATTTTAACACATATATTTATGTAATTAGCAGTTAATTAATTTTAAACAATCAATCGATATGTAAAATGTTGTTTGTTAAAATAAATGCCCTTTGTAATTGAACAGCATTGCCTGCAAATTGCCAACTGAAATGTGCGCATAATTCAACATAAAACTAAACAAATGTTCAACGTGGTTCGTATGCCAAAATAAACTAGGGGAAAAAAGAATGAAAACAAACCACAAAAACAAATTCAAACAATGAATGAATTGTTTTTGCTACATGTCAATATTTTGTTGTTCTATTTTCTATTTTTCTTGCTGTTGGCGCTGCTTGTGTTTTGTTTATAGGCCAGGAAGCAGAACCGAACCGTAAAAAACATTGTATTATAAATAAGTACTATATTTTAGTGGCAGAGCGTACGCTCTGCACATTGTACGCGTTTAAAAATAACACAAATATACAAATTGAAATTCAAATTGAAATGCAAAACATGTGCTGAAATGATTGTACAAGTGTCAACTTTGATATGCGAGCGACTTGACTCAACGCTACATCGAAATATTTTCGCAACATTTTTGCACAAAATTAGGCAACAAAACAAGTAAGTGTGCCCTAATCGGAAGTATCCGACCAGCAAATACCCTGTACCCAAGCCAAATTCTTCTGATACAAACGCATGCATTCCGCATACTGCGGGAAATACGTTCCTAATTAACTACAGAGTTAATTCGATTTTTATGAAATATTCAAGACAAAAATATAACATCCAAATTTTAGTAAATATCAAAGCCCAGTGTTATTTCACCATAAATTCATTATTTAAATTTTTAAGAAGAATGGGTTAGACATTCAAAAAGTGAAATATTCTGGACTTGTGTGTGCTCTTCAAGAGACTACATTACAAATATGAGCTCTCAGAAGAGCACAATAAAGTTATTATTATTTCATAATGATTATTTATTTCATCATTATTTAAAACAAACCTTTGTTCGAAATATCAAGTCTCTAGGTCTGCGATATTTTTATATGGTGTCGGAGAAACTACAATGTTTCAAAATCATTATACCGATTTTAATCCTTTTCACGGTATAATTAGCAGCCTCAGGGACCCATATAGAGTGTACATATATGTATATACATAATTATAAACAAAACGGTCAATCGTTGAATACTACAGCTAAATGGCAGCCGACCAAACAAAACATTTTCCTAATCAATTTAGCGCGTGTTCAAATTAATCACATGCAGATGACTTCAAAATGATTCTTCAAGTGCGCCGCGTTGACCAATCGAATGGTCAGTGCCCAGCCGACAATAACAACAACAACAAAAACAACAGCAACATCGAGAAGAACAACGACATTGGGTGCCCCTTCTTCTAATTGCGTTTAAGAAATGCTGGCAACGTTTTTGTGGCTATAAAAATAAATACTTATAAATAAGTATATAAAACGTGAACCTTGCCAAAGCTATCCAACAAAAGCCCCTCAACTCTGCCAATACAATACAACGAATCATAATAAGTGCAGATGTGTAGACAAAGCCGTAGACAGTGCCAAACAAAAACCAATACACAAGAAAATAGAAATAGGCAAAAATAAACATTTTTTAAAAATATCGTTGCACTCTTTGGAGCTTTTCCGTTTCTATACAAATATCTATATATTATATAGTAAAATATCACGTCGGTCGTGTGACTTGCCTTTGTTTCGGTTATATTGTTATGGATGCTAAGACCCTTAAAATCCATTATCACAAATGCTAACCACACTCTAGTTGCCATTGATTCCTTCGCAGGTGCCAGTTGCTCTCGTTGTCAGCACATTTCGTAGCTGGCGAGAAAGAAATTCGTTTAAGATAAACACATATTAATTGACCATCAAGAACTGTCAACACCAACAAAAAATAGTTGTTGTCTGACTGCGACAACAACAAAAAATTATTATTCAAACATCGCCACGCTTTCTCAGCTTATGCTGTCGCTGTTTATAAAAGTTGCATGAAATTGTTCCTAAAACTAAACATCAAATAATGCAGACGTTGAAATACCCTAGGCTTAAAGTTGTTTTCTTGTTTATATTTTTTTGTGTACATCTTTATTTCTATCTGATTTCTGTTCTAGCAAGGCTTAGAGAGTAATTAACTAGATTAAGAAATTGAATATCTATCAATAAATATTTTTAGCATATTTTTAATATACTTATTCCCAATTATTATTTTTTTTTTTTGAATAAGATATTTATATCGCGTTTCTAATATTTGCATATATGACCCAATAATTTATTTATAAAATAATATAATTTTTTAAAATTTGATATCATATAACTTATGATATATTCTTTAAATTTCAATTTAAGTAATTATCAATTTCAATATTATTCATATTTTAAAAAAGTCTAATTTTTTAATATAAAAAATAATTATATGGAATAACCCAACTCTGATTCGTTTCAAAATGAAAAACCTTTTTTTTTTGTTATTCTTCGGAGCTATTAAAAAAAAAACAACAACGGTTTTGAATTTTGTTATACTAATACATTATTGAAAGCTTTTCATGTTTATATAAATATTTAAATACGGCAAAATGTAAACGGAAGAAGAAAAATTATAAATATTTTCGTTCTGTAAATTTTTCGTCATGTGGATTGACTTTAATAGTACCCAGGAGAAATGCAGCCAGAGAATAGTATTATAATGATATTAGACTATCTCAACACGTCTTTCTTTCTTTTAACCCGGCGAGCAATTAAGTAGCATATTCCAAAAGATCAACTAGAAGCAGCAGCAGATAAAATGTGTGTGTATGTATTTAGGATATATATATATATATATATTTTTTTTGCACGAGGCGCGCACAAAGTCAAGACTATGGTATAATTATAGCGACACCCACCTATTGGCGCCCAATTTCTGGCCCGAGTGCACACAAACACACACACATACTCATATTAAAATCACGGACAGCCGGACAATTGGACGGGGCAGACAGACAGAGGACGACGACGTCTCACAGCGACTCACGGTCAAGTTGAAAAACATTGAGAGTGTGTGTGGATTGTTTGCAGCGGATGTTGTTTGGAGGATCGGAGGTGCTTTTGTTTATGGAGGCCAGCAATTATATTTTTTTTTTTTTTCGAAACGCAGCGCCCAGCTCTCTTGTGTGTCACATTAACCCAATAAACAGACAGTTGAAAATGCTGCCAAAGAGAGATTTGAGAGAATTCTCAGCATATTTTTATTTAGAGGCAACGCAGTCAAGGGCAGCGGCAGCGACTGAGGCAGAGACAGAGCCGAGCGGCCGTTCGCCGTTTGTCGATGAGTTGATCGTTGTTTTTAATGTGTCTTTGATGTTGTATAGCAATTCGTTGCCTGCTGACTTTTCGCGAAAATTTTTCTTCGAAATTCGTTTTGTTCAGTATCGAGGGAAATCACGACGCGCCAACTTGGTGGAAATGCCAGTACGCGAACGCCTCAAATAGTATCCACAAGGATTATCAGCAAAAGTGTGACCAAAACCACAAAACATATATATACTATATAGTATATACTATATATTTATATATTCATTTATGATAATTGTGTTTTCATACATATTTCTGTGCGTTCCGTCGTTTTTTTTTTAGCATGCAGTGTCGCGCGTTTATACGCCTCAGTTGCTAAGTAGCCCTGTGCCAAGTGTTCAATGCAAAAGTATTTGGGCGAAAGTTAATAAATTTTGTGAATAATTGCACAAAATTGATATATTAATTGCCAGCCATTTATATTCTACTATGAATGTATCTTAATACACATTGTCGAGTAGCTATCTGTATAAGTATAGATAGTGCCTGGCTATAAATAAATAAATAAAAAATATACACACCAAATAACAACAAATTTTATTTATTGCCCAGTATATATATATACTAACCCACATGTTTGTTTGTGTATATTTAAATGTGTGTGCTTGTACTTATGAGGGTGTATGTGTTATTGTGTGTGTCTGTTGTGCTTGTGTCTCAGCCAAAGGCAAATAAATTTTTAAATTTTTAGCGCTCAGTAACTTTTTTAGCACTAAAAAACACAAACAAAATTTCGTCTCATAAAAAAACATAATAATAAAACACAAAATAAAGCAAAAAATTGAGCTTCAAGAAAGTGAAATCAAAAAAATCAATTAAATTTGTGAATATTCGGTGTGAAAAAAAAGAGGAAACCAAAATACACACATTAAAAAAGTTAATAAACACAAAAGCCTAATAACCAAATAGGCCAACAAAATGTCCACAACGACGCGAAGTTCGCTGACGAGAAAATCGTCGCTGGCCAAAAGTGGTAGCACGGACAAAGCAACAACCAAATCATCAACAACGAAATCAACAGCAACAGCAACAACAAAGTCGTCCAACACATCTGCGACAACAACATCAGAAACAACAACGAGGAGCGGTAGCAAACAGAAAATGCAATATACAAAGACCAAGGAGCGCATTGTCGATGGTACATTTCACTGCTAATGCTTATACATATTTTTGGGAACTTATTACAATAATTCCGAGAAATCAGAAACGCACCTATATGATCTTACAGATTAGCTGATCTTAATTCTGCCCAATTGCACAGTCCATTACCAACATTAATATATCTTAAAGACTTCGAGAAAAAACTTTTTATAATGATTCATAGTAAATTATATATCATCTACTTCTATAGGAACCACAATTTGGTCATCTTAATTTAAAGATGATAATCTCCATATTAAACATATTTTAAAGAACTTAAGTCAGCGAAAGCTTGAAGGAAACCTATTATTACGATTCTAAAAGTCTAAAAGAAACACACTTTAAGAAATTACGAATCTAAAATCTGCCTTATGGTAAAGTTTGTTAACAATATTAGTGTATAAATATCTTAAAGATCTTAAGTCAGCCAATGTCTCGCAGAAACTTATGAAATGCTTCCGAGTTCAAACTTGTTTATTTACCTACCAATACTGGTAACTTCCAGGTTATCTTTAATTAAATAATAATAAACTGAAACTTAAAGCAATTGTAAAATTAATTAGTTTAAAAAAAAAAAAAATTCTTCGAAATGCAATTAAGACAAGGAGTTCTATGAGTCCCCACAGAAAATGGCAAATGGTATCGTAAAGATCGGCTCGACATATAAGAGTTAACGCGTGCTGAAGGGACTCTTTTATCTTCTAGATATGATAAATGCAGTAATCGACACCAAGCTTTGTTTTGCTTTTAAATTTTAAAAACTGTTTTTGCCTTAGGTATAATACAGTTTACATGGTTAATGAATAATGTATAAAAATAGAAGAAATACACTTTGGGGATCTTAAGCCCAAGATGATAGTGTCTAACAGAAACATATTTAAAGACTTCAGCCTGATAATGCACTTCATTGCCTATGTCTGTAAGAAACATATTTTAAAGCTCATAGATTAGCCTGAACGTTCGGTTCCTTGGTATAATCTACAAAAAAACCCTTCTTTTTGTGTTTTAATCAGTCTAAAATTACTTCCTATCCCGATCTTTTATCAATCTGATGGTGCAACTCAATAATTATGGTTGTTAAATATTTCAGTTTGGTTTTATGGAACTTCTAGCTACCAATATTTCACAGAAATTTGATTTAAAAATCATGAGTGGGACGAGCTTGCAGTTGATAGTAAAACAGTCATGTGTTTGACATATAAAAATATATAAAAATAAATAAAAATATATATATAAAAATGTATTTTATTATTTTAAGATATGTAAAAAATCAGCTCTTGGGATCACCAAATATAGCATAGAAGATTATATTAAAACCTGATATAAAACTTCTTTCTAATGCTTAAACATGAAGATTTCATCTGAAACATGAGTTATCTTTCTTACTAAGATTGAATTCAAGTTGTGCGAACATAAATTTAAGCATTGTCTAACAATCTTCAGTATTGGTAAAAAAACAAACGCTAGATTTAAGAAAAAACGAAGTCGAGACCCTTGCTTGACTTTTAATACCAATTAGATTCTCTTATATATACTTAGCAGAAAGCTTGATCACAGAGCCTATGAGCCTAGGAATTGATACTGTAACTGAAAAGACTAGTCAAAAATTGCCCTTCAACCAAAATTTGCCCCTTAATTTCAACACAATTACAGCACTGTTGCAAAGCTTTTCTTCCAAACTGAACTAATCTTATGTTTTTTTTTTTATGAATGTTGCCAAACTCGTAGCTTCCCATATATGTTGTCACTTACTACTTACAACTATATTTTCCTACTTAGATTAACCTATTACCCAGTTAACTATTTAACCTAAAATCAAGTATATCATATATCAGCTTTTTTTTAAGAATGAGCTGTAAGATCTTGAGCGAACTTTAGAATTTTTTTATTTGGATGAGAATCAAGTAGATTTCTATATACATATCTCATAACCTTGACCCAATTTCAAGCAGAGTATTCATTAATATTGAGTTTATGATTTTTATGCAATCATTAAGTTTGCTTTGTGTATGAAAACATGTTATATGGGTGAATAAATAAAAATTAAATTATATTTAAGCAGTCATTATGAGGAGCATCTGCTTTATAGGATATATTGCTATTTTATTGGCATATTGCGCGAAAATTTGAACATTCGGCAAAGATAATGACTATCTGAGAATGTATGTGTGTGTGTGTTGCGTATGTTTGTTTTTGTATGTGCCAATCAATTTTCGACTTTTATATTCACTCATTCAAAATGTTCGTAATTAGCGTAGAAAATGCATGTGCATTTTACCCTGGCCACATGCCACAGTTGGGGGCAGATGTGCGAGACTCGTAAATCTGGCCGCGCAGCCAAGCCAAATATTGGCGATAAGTTGCTGCAGCTCGTTAACCCACATGCACACACGCACATACGCACACACAAGCACAGAGACTGACTACAATTTGGCCCAGACGTTGCACATTGCGTATACGCAATGTCTATATAAACTAATTTATTCAATCGCTTCTGCTATTTAGATGTGCCCCTGCCGCCTACACACAAACTGACCATGTCCGAGGTATACGACGATCCCAAGTCGGGCAAACCGAATTTCGATGCACTGCGTCAGCATTTTCAGCTCGAGGGCCGCGTCGAGGAATGCGTCGCCCTGCGCATCATCAACGAGGGCGCCGCCCTGTTGCGCGAGGAGAAGAACATGATCGACGTTGAGGCACCCATTACCGTCTGCGGCGACATACATGGCCAATTCTTCGATCTGGTCAAGCTCTTCGAGGTGGGCGGACCGCCGGCGACCACACGTTATCTCTTCCTGGGTGATTACGTGGACAGGGGCTACTTTAGCATAGAGGTATGTGAGTGAACTGCAGCGAGTTCGAAGTCTTTAAAAGATGTGTTAAAGAATTTATACAACCCTCCTATACCAACCACCTAGTGTGTGCTCTATCTATGGTCCCTGAAGATCAACTATCCGGACACGCTGACTTTGCTGCGCGGCAATCACGAATGCCGGCATCTAACGGAATATTTCACCTTTAAGCAGGAGTGTAAGTAGTATTGGAAAATCTAAGAAATATGTGGAATTCGCTTTGAGTAATTTAGAAAGAGAATAATAATATGGCGAAGATAAAACAGGAATGATCACCGTAGTCGACCTTAACCTTCAACAACCCAGCAATAAATTAAACTAATAGGCATAACTTTAAAGCAATAAAATTTTTCAACTCTATTTACCCCTTTAATTTTTTTTAAGATTTATGAGATCCTATTGAAACTCACAAATTTACAGTGCGATTGCATGTTATTAATGTCATTATAAAAGCCGCAGCAAATGAATAAATCTTGACCACCTTTTGCGGTTGCCATATTCAGTTTCCCCCTCTTGTTGCAGGCATAATCAAATATTCGGAAAGTATTTACGATGCGTGCATGGAAGCGTTTGACTGCCTGCCCCTCGCCGCGCTGCTCAACCAGCAATTTCTCTGCATACACGGCGGACTATCGCCAGAGATTTTCACACTCGACGACATCAAGACGGTAATAAATTTGGCAGTCGAATGTCTCAGCTGAAATGTTTACAATCGTCTGTCAAAATTTTTGTTTTGGTCTCGTTGTGCGCCGCAGCTGAATCGCTTCAGGGAGCCGCCCGCCTATGGGCCCATGTGTGATCTGCTATGGTCCGATCCGTTGGAGGATTTTGGTAATGAGAAAACCAACGAGTTCTTCTCGCACAACTCGGTACGTGGCTGTTCCTATTTCTTCAGCTACTCAGCCTGCTGTGAGTTTCTACAGAAGAACAATCTTCTATCCATAGTGCGTGCGCACGAGGCACAGGATGCGGGGTAAGTTTCACTTATAGCTGTAAGTCCACAAAATAAATTTTAAAAAATATAGACCAAGGTTCTAGTTGATCCTTAACTTCATTTTGGAGGGTTCGGTTCCAACTTCAAGAGAAAAGTTCGGTGCTTGGGGTCAACACAATGCATCTCCTTAATTATCGGCTTGTGCCTTATCTTATCAATTGATTTGGTTAGGGCTTAGATTCAATCATTTTAGGCGACTGAATTCAGGGTAAAATAGTTTTGCAGCCATGATCAAGGCTTTACCTTAAGATTCGTTTCCTGTATCCAATATTATCCAGATATTGTTTTCAACTTTTATGCTCACATTATTAACAATTTAAGACAGATCAATTGAATTTAATTCTAAATCTTGTTATGTCCAATTATTTTTATTCTTTCCTATTTTTTAATATAATATTATTTATATTTTTTTATAATCAAAGTACTGCAAACCATAATTATAGAAAGAAAAAATATTAAAAAAAAAAGTTTTGGAGATAAAAAGTTAAGTCCGCCCCAAAATTTCTGAATGCTAAATAAATTGGAATTCAATTTAAGCCTGTTTTGCAGTCAGGCTTTGACTTACGATTCGGTTGATTACGATTGAATAAAATCAAATATTGAAAAACATCTTATTTTAAGGTTCTTTCTGTGGTAAATAAAAAGTAGAAGTTCAATTCAAACTTAGTTTGTAGCCTTGATATCTTCCTGTCTAATTTGTTCCCGCACATACTCTCTCGCTTGCAGCTATCGCATGTATCGCAAGAATCAAGTAACCGGCTTTCCATCGCTGATCACCATCTTCTCGGCGCCAAACTATTTGGATGTTTACAACAACAAGGTATGACTTGGCCAATACGATGAACTTTATTTAGCAGCATTTGTATATTGAATATTGAATTTGTTCGCTTGCCTTTGGCTATTTTTAAATTTACACAAAAATCTTTTGCTGCATAGCGCTGCGCTTGTTATATCGTATTTGTATATCTTCTGGCCCATCGTAAATATTGTTTGGCTTTTTCTGTTTTCATTTTCATATTTTCACTAAATTTTTTGTCAAAACGCATCGTCAACATTTGACAAAAGGCAGCTGTGCTCAAGTACGAGAACAACGTGATGAACATAAGACAATTCAATTGCTCACCGCATCCCTACTGGCTGCCTAACTTTATGGATGTCTTCACCTGGTCCCTGCCCTTTGTCGGCGAGAAGGTGAGCCCCAGACCAGGCCCCCACAACCTAAACTAAGCCAAGAAACATTAATTTCATTCCAAGCATACTTCCATAGGTCACGGAAATGCTGGTGAATGTGCTCAACATTTGTTCGGATGACGAGCTCGTCGCGGGTCCCGATGATGAGCTGGAGGAAGGTATGCATATATACATATATATAATGTAACAATTCAACTTGTATAAGCTGGGTGTTTCTGTGTATATATGTATGTGAATAAGTGTATATGTATAAATGTCGTATGCGCAACAATAGTTTAAAAGAAAGCAATTTTCGGCGGGCCGCTGTGTAAATACCCTTTCATAAACGAGGCAAACTACAAACTATTGTCTTTTTTAATGAAACAAACACATTTAAAGTTCACGTGGATTAAGAATAAAAAACGAAATCTTATACTGCAAATACGCATGAGGCATTCAGGCACTTCTCACTGGGCATGACTCTTTTCTGAAACACACATTTGTGATATCTGTTACCCCTTGAAATATAGAAACAAAAGTCATAAAACCTGGCTGAAACAGCCCAAGAAAACGAAATTCAAAAATGTCTTAATTTTATAAAGCTTGGTAAATTCAGTTTCTAGTTTTAGATACATGTTGGACGACGTTAATAAGCCATAAGATATGTTATTTTTATCAACTTCTTTATAAAAATTCCCAGCTAAGAAAAAGTTTGTAATACATCTAGACCAACTTTTCCAACTAACCAACTATTCTAACTGTTCCATCTATTCCTATGGAGCTATCATATATTTGGAATCAAATTTTTATAATATATTGTCTGCACCGCCAAAAAAAAAATAAGATAAAGACAAGACGTCGCAGATATACCAATTAAAACGTTACGTATTCCCAACCAAAACACAAACCCCTTATACAGGTGTATAAGAAAACACAAAAGAACTACCAGTCTAATATTAATATAAAATATTTTCAAAATTTATCTGTACACAAAATATGTAATAACAAACTGAACAACAACAACAAATACAACAAAACACAATCAATCACCCACTCAAAACACGCCCCTTACTGGCATCTGGTGGTGACGGGTGGCGTGGTGGGGAATACATACAGAGCTGCGCAAGAAAATTGTGCTCGTGCCGGCGACCGTGAATAATAACAATAACAATAATACGCCCAATAAGCCAGGTAAGCTCCGTGTTGAAACCGCCGCTGCGACTGAGAGCTTAACGAGAGCTTTGCACAGCTTTGATCAGCTTTGGCGCCAAGCTTTGCCTAAACATTATTCGCACCAGAGTTGCCTTGCTGTTCAAACATATATATATATATATATATATATGTATATATGTATAGATAATAAGATGATATTTCTTATGATAATTTCCCAATTAATTGAGCCTTACAAATTCGCAGCTTCCATGTCGGCACTGCGCAAGGAGATAATCCGCAACAAAATACGCGCCATTGGCAAAATGTCACGTGTATTTTCCGTTCTCAGGTGAGAACCTTTTCCTAAGCATTTACAACCTAAGCATTTAAACTGTCGTACACCTTGCAGGGAAGAGTCGGAGAGCGTGCTGCAACTAAAGGGCCTCACGCCCACGGGCGCGTTACCAATGGGCGCGCTTTCTGGTGGACGTGATTCACTCAAAGAGGGTAAGCTTTAAACAGTTTTAAGAGCATTTAAGAGCACAAAACATAGAGTATCGTATCAGACAGGTAATGGAATATTTTAAGAAAATATATGATAAGGAACACCGATTAGGAAAGGATCATTGAAAATAGAATATATCAAATATAACAAAAGAAATAAAACATACCAAATAAAATATAGATCATAAAACATAGAACATAGAACATAGAACATAGAACATAGAACATAGAACATAGAACATAGAACATAGAACATAGAACATAGAACATAGAACATAGAACATAGAACATAGAACATAGAACATAGAACATAGAACATAGAACATAGAACATAGAACATAGAACATAGAACATAGAACATAGAACATAGAACATAGAACATAGAACATAGAACATAGAACATAGAACATAGAACATAGAACATAGAACATAGAACATAGAACATAGAACATAGAACATAGCAGAACATAGAACATAGAACATAGAACATAGAACATAGAACATAGAACATAGAACATAGAACATAGAACATAGAACATTATAGAACATAGAACATGGAACATGATTTTAAAAAAACTTGGAATTCTAGTTCAAACGTGTTATAAAGGGAAAGAATTACAATTATTATGAAAAGCATTTACAGCTTGGTTTATCAATATAATTGTCGACAGCTATAAAGCTATTAAGCCACAATTTTATCCCCTTTTCAATAGCTCTACAAGGACTGACCGCAGCCTCACACATTCACTCCTTTGCCGAGGCGAAGGGTTTGGATGCAGTCAATGAGCGAATGCCGCCGCGTCGTCCGATTATGATGAGCGCCAGCAGCAGCAGCATCTCAGCCCTCAGGAGCAGCACCACCACTAGCAATAACAACAACAACAACACAACAACCAAGGACAACAATATCAGCAGCAGCAGCAGTGATGCCACCCTGACAAAAACAAGCCGAACTACCGTTAGATCGGCAACCACCAGCAACGTGCGCAGCGGTTACACATCGAAGAGATTCTCATAATCAGCCGGAACTGCTGAAAATTGTTGAGTCATTGAAACGATTTTAGTTAGATTACAGCTTAGTTAAATTGATTTGATTTTTATTTTTCTGTGTTCTGTACTCCTAGTCCATTACCTTAATTATATTTTCTGTAAATTTGTATATGTTTTGTTGAGATTTTTATACACAAAACTGTTACCCTAAACATTTTTTATGGAATTTCTATATTTTTAGAACGAACTACCCAACACTCAACGCACATGGCAAAAAATGTATACGTGACATGAATAAATAATAAATCTGACAGTAAATATCGCAAAAAATATTTACACAGACTGCAAGACAAGCAACCCCAAAAAGGGGCAGGGCCACAACCAGAGTGATATTTTACACTTAACTCATTGAAAGTGGCTAAAAAAGATAGACGTAAAATTACAAGAGCTAGATATATTAAATTGAAATATATACTGATTCCAAGAACGAATCTTTTTTTTACAACTTCTCCCATATTCATACTGATTAATATAGATTTTGGCATATGGTTATTTAAACATAACTCGAAGATTACACAATCTAGATTTATCAAACTTGGTATGTAGATAACTGTAACTGTGTTTTGAAAACCGTCTTCGGCTTGAAGGAATTACATGTATATAGTGTCAGACCAAAAGAAGAGGAAGTACAGCTGCAGCAATTGCCGTGCGTGTGAGTTTATGTGTATGTTTGTACCGGCACCTAGATGCAGGGTATCTCCTAGTCGGATAGACACCACATTCTGATCGCTATTTAAACTGTGCATTGTTGGGAGTTGTGTGGGTGGATGTTGGGGGCAATCCAATGCCAAATACAGTTGTCAGCTTAACAGTTAGCTGCAGCAGCTCAAGTCAAGCGTGGCAGATCAACAAAATAAAATAACAAAAAAAACAGCAACAACAACCCTGAAAGCAAATCATAAAACAATGCACTGTAATAATTAACCAAGAGCAAACGACAATCATCAAAGCAATCATTACTTAACGTCATTTAGCATTGAAGCTGTTTTTTTTTTGTTTCTATTCTTCTTGCTTGCATTCTTATTCCACCTGTTCTTTACACTCTTTACGATTTTTACAGTGCCCGTTAAAAACGTGCGCAATCAAAGCGCAGTTACACAGATAAAGAAAAGTGAACTAAACGCTTGGGCACACTACAGTACACCCTGCCGAAACTTGACCTAGTGCAGAACAATTTGTTTAATTAATATTTCATATAGTAAATTATAATAGTCAATATCAATAATCAAATATAATATTTTTTAGTTTTTAAAAAATCGCACAAATGAATTGAAGTTACAAATAATTTCATTACTAATTCACATTATTATTTATTAAATAATAACACTTGGCTTGTTAATGCAACTAGTTGTCATGTTTGAAACTATTTATCTGTAGCTGTTAATCTTAAAAAATGGTTGACACTTCATTGTTAACAACTATATTAAAAGGCAAAGTATAAATTAATAATGCAACTAATACATTAATTAGTTATTATTAGTTCAAAGAGTTGTTTGGTTTTTAAATAATTCAATAAAGTATACTCTAAAAAAACTAACTAACTAACTATTTAAAGATCAGTTATTTGAAAAATCTCACTGATATAATTTATATTTTATTTTATGTTATTCATTATATGAGAAGTAAGATGAATATTAAGAAGTTATATTCTAAGCATAACCACAAATCATCATAAGAGAAATGTTTGCCTAATTTTTTTAGCTTTTGATGTTTCCAGATGCATTTATTTGCGATATGCGGTCACACTCTTTTGTCTGTTTAAGAAATCTGCAGTATTAAAACCTACTTGGAGACAGGCGACAGTTTACACACAATGATGAATTCATGGAAAAGCCCCATTTTCATTTGAGATATTCCTTACCGAAAAAAAGTATAAATAAAGTATAAATACACAATTAAACTAAGAAAACATACTTGAGAATAATTGAGTTTAACCATAAACATAATTATTTATAGCTACAGTTTAACTAGAGACCAATCCATTGCGTAAATTGCAAAATTATTCAACAGCTCTCATAGACTACGCAAAGAACTAAGCAATTTCTTAAGTACAAGTACAATATTAGATCGCAGTAAGTGTGGGATAAGTTTAACCTTCAGACTGCCTGTGCACGTGTACATATCTTTCAAAAAACTCCCGAAAAACTAAAAATAATCAAAATGTTTGTTTATAAGCAACAAGTTGATATTTATGACGTTTTACGCATATATGAACTGTTGAGTTCCGAAGATTTTAATAAGACTGAAAGAATTTCTTTAGTTTGTGCATAACAAGAGCCCAAGGAACTCTTTACTAACGTCAGAGTGTGACAAATGAGCGATTTATTAATGTGGATGTCTGGAACTAACATTTTTGCAGCAAAGAGTTGCACAAGCGTTACAATTCGTGACTGTGCGCTTGGAGACAAATCTTAGATTCCGCGCCTGATTAGTGCAAAGTGTCGAGCTTGCAAACCTGACAATAGATCCAATTTTACAAAGATGCTAAAGATAGTCAGAGGCCCACATGCAATATGATATTATAAGTATTCTATTGTTCAGATAGAAGGCAAAGTCATAGAGCTGCTGAATGCTGGCGCCTATGTGACATTGATCGAGGTTGTGTGAGGCCGGGACCTGGCCAGACATCACAAATAAACCAAAGACAAACAAAACATTGCCCAATTTGATGTACCCTTTTAAAGGGTCATACAACTTCCCAAAGTAACATGAAACGCATATATGTATATGGTTGAGCCAAAAGTCGATATAACCATTTCCCTCTGTCCTTCTATCCGCCTGTATCTATCCATCTATATCTATATAGATATCTATATCTATATCTATATCTATATCTATATCTATATCTATATCTATATCTATATATCTATATCTATATCTATATCTATATCTATATCTATATCTATATCTATATCTATATCTATATCTATATCTATATCTATATCTATATCTATATCTATATCTAATCTATATCTAGATCTATATCTATATCTATATCTATATCTATATCTATATCTATATCTATATCTATATCTATATCTATATCTATATCTATATCTATATCTATATCTATATCTAGATCTATATCTATATCTATATCTATATCTATATCTATATCTATATCTATATCTATATCTATATCTATAGCTATATCTATATCTATATCTATATCTATATCTATATCTATATCTATATCTATATCTATATCTATATCTATATCTATATCTATATCTATATCTATATCTATATCTATATCTATATCTATATCTATATCTATATCTATATCTATATCTATATCTATATCTATATCTATATCTATATCTATATCTATATCTATATCTATATCTATATCTATATCTATATCTATATCTATATCTATATCTATATCTATATCTATATCTATATCTATATCTATATCTATATCTATATCTATATCTATATCTATATCTATATCTATATCTATATCTATATCTATATCTATATCTATATCTATATCTATATCTATATCTATATCTATATCTATATCTATATCTATGTCTATATCTATATCTTTATCTAGGAAGAATCGGTTAAACAGTGTAAGCTCTATTTTAAGATATCTTCAAATTTCTCACATATCTACCAGACCGTATAGGAACAATCAGTTAAATATAATAATTCAAATAAAAGCTTACCCAACCAGAGTATTTAATCTTCTTCATACCGCTGCTAGTCACTTTTGCTTGTACTATTTTTTCGGATAATGCAAACAATACGCATATGCTCTTGGAAATCTTTTATCAATTCTAGAAATTCATCTGCAACACGCTTGAGATACGATATCTGGCGAGAGCTGTCGTTGAGCTCAGATAAGCAGCGGACATCAGTCTGAGGGCAGCCGCCTACAACAACCGATTCACGTGCCATTTAAGCCGTAATTCAACGTATTGACACATGCTGTTAGCCCGTGGTCGTAAACAGCCGATCGTCAATATCATAAAGAGCCCAAACGTCAACTTTATTGCACGTGAGAGCAACAGACGACAAGTTGTTTTTTAATGGGTTTATCTGTGCTGCAATTCGAAATGTACGCAAACATTTTGCATGTAAAGTAAAAAGAAGTGAAAAAAAAATAAAAATTCTCGTAATGCCCCCGGTTCTAGACATCGTCGTCGTCGTCATCGTCGTGCGGCCCGCTTCGTGCACAGCCGATGATCATGGCCTATCGTACCGCCATATAACGGCGCTTCAGGGCATGCCGAGACGTCAGTCGCTGCAAATCCGCTAATTGTGACCTAGTCGCGAGCTCGTTTTAAAGTCCGTGCTCAAAAAATTTCAAATTGAAAATAATAATACTACGTTTTACGTTTAACTGATCTACAGTCTTAATGGCCAGCTAGAATCTGAACGCAACTGTGATATAAATAATACATATTGTACATACACATAGCCCAAGCTTGACTCAATTAAGTCTGTAAGATGCATTCTGTACTCCTGATACTCGCCGCTGTCTGTGCAGCAGGCACTTGGGCGGCCACAGTGCAGCCGCCGCCCGTGATACAAACCCTGAGCACCGCGGGCAGCGGCAGCGGCAGCGGCAGCGACAGCGACAGCGACAGCGGCATTGGACCAGAGTTCAGGCTGGTGGCGGACAAGGAGAGCGTTTTGGAAGGTGCGTTTGCCAATTTGTCTCTTATATAAAAAAAAAAAAAACATTGCGAATATTGCACAACTTAGAGAACTAGCCGAACGAATGGCGCGTTCAAGCGTTTTATTACTACGTGTTAGTTCAACTCGGGCGGCTCCAGTTGAATTATGCAACAGCTACAGAAACACAAAAAAAAAAATAGATGACAATAAATATTGCCAAGAGTGTAAAACAAATAACAGATATATATATACAATATAGTTTTTACTATATTAAATTTATCTATCAATATTTAAAGGCTAGGCTTACAAAACAACTCAATTGTGCAATTGCACAAAATGGATGAAAAATGGGTAAAGAAAAAAGTTATATAAGTATTATATATATAATATATATAATAGTTATACTTTTATTTTATTTACAATTTTGTTGATTATCTTAAACAAAAAGCGCAGCAATTTAAACAAAAAATTATTTTTTTTTTATTATTGTCAATTAATATTTATCTGTATTTAAGTGCAATTAAAATGCTGCCCTATCTAATATTTCGTCAAAGAAATACCCCGTGTTAAGTGCAGCTTCGAAAGAAGATATTTGATTATGCGTTCAAAAATTTGAATTATGTGTGCAACAGACATTAAAA